CCTCTCGCATTAGTCTCCACAGAAATTCTCCAGTTCCCAATCTTTCCAGAATCCTTGTAAACCGAGAGCGCGCTTCCTGCGAATTTCTCAGTAACCTTAAAGGCTGAACATTTTACCTGTATCTTTCCTTCTATTGATGAGATGTGTAAATTTTTGACTGAAATGTGATCGTTCCACTCTCGCAAAAGTCTAGACAAATACTAATACAATACAAATGTAAGATTCGAGAAATTTATCATTGTGTGCGTCGTAGGCTGCTGAATTACCTGGTCACGATTAGGCTATTTTCGAGAGTGCACTCTATGCTTTGTGCAACCATTTTCTAGATAAGCTTGTGGTGAGTACTTAGTACTCATTCGCCTGTTCTGGAAAACCTTGTCGAACAATTGGATTTCGACAACGGACAATGGCCATAGTGAGTGACGGGACACGCTCAACATGTTACAGCACAGGCTCCAGATGTGTGGTGTTAAGTGCGGAGAACCCTTTCCAGGAGGTAAACTCACCACATCCTCCAGCGCTGCCGCTTATTCCGGGCCCTGGACCCACCTTATTCACCGTTAGCCACAGGATGACGGCCGTCCCCCTGTTCACGACCTGAGTACTCGCTCGGTAGCACAGAGCTCTGCTCTCCCAAGTGATGTCTTAGGAACTCCGACAAAACCACATCCAAACGGATGACCTTTTTGTCACCGAGCTCGATATCAATCTGTGTGACTTCAAACATATTCTCATAATGTTTATGCAATTCCCACGCTTGCTTGCAAGTTTTAATACTCTTCAAGACACAGAAGGTATTAAATTGATTAAAGTTAAGCGAATCTGGTGAGCATTCACAATGTCTCATGAAGAGGCATCATCCACGATGTATCTGCATGTGCTGCGATAAATTATAAAACTTCCTCACAAGCTGCATGTGAAATCGAATTTCGCGGCACAGGCTATCCAACCCATTTATGCATGCCATTTAGGACGCCTAAAATGCACGTCTTGTGAGTTTCAGAACAAGCAAAAAGGGGACAACACCTCGATTAAATTTCTCGTCGAACTCTGTCCTGTACCATCGTTCCAGTTCAACCTGATTTTCAGCCCTTAGCCGTCGGGCAAGGAATAAAGGATGACAAATTCAATCGTGCAATTGGCTTACATCATAAAAGTCGGTAAAATCACGTGACCATATCGACTGCGTAAGTCAAACGCGCGCGTGCACACACACACACACAGGCACACTCTGAGCCGCGATCGATCCACCAACACCACACAGGATCGTATCGAGCACTTGTGTATTTTTGGACTTGGGCACTAGTGAAATCAATTAAATTGTGAAAAAAACTGAAAAATAAATCGAAATTCCAGCACAGTACTACAAATCGGAGCACAGTCGATCTGGTGTGAAACGTTCTGGTTGTGTTTGTGATTGTGCTGGGGGTCGTGGTCTTGGTCCTCGTCATCATTGCTGATGAAGAAACCTGCGCCATACTCAAACTAGACCAATCAGATAATTGATGGGAGTTGTTTGAGTGGGTGTGTGTGTGTGTGTGTATGTACTGAATGGATGGATAGATGGATGGATGGATTATGGAGGCAATTGAAACCAATTGAACCGCGACTGTTGTCGCATTGTTCCCCGACACGGGTTTCATCTTCATGACAGAGTAGACGAGTGACAGTGAGTACTGATGCGGATTATTCATGAGGCCATGGAACCGTACGGTGCGTACGGTTCCGATTCATGGACCTCCAAAGCACTCGCGCCAGTGATCAATACAACCATCCTGGTATGTATTCACATTGAACAATCAGAGTATTTTAATTTCTCTATGTGTGATGGAAGCTTAGTTGTGTGGCCTGGATTGTCATATTTATCTTTCGTAAACGACAACGATCACGTCATTCTCGAGCGCGTATAGCCCGATCGCGAGCAAATCGTATTCTCTCGGTCCCGTTAAAAGCCACAATCATTGTCACCGGATTGATTCTAACTGTGCTGCTGGTTTTCTCAATCACCGCCGCCTCGACTGTCAGGCGAACAGTATTTCGTGGGGTAAATTGTTGGACAGTTTTAATCGACTGTCTTTTATTAATTCTTTCATTCAGTTTACAATCGCAATCGTTCCATTCTCGGCTGTCCTCGTAATTTGTTGTATAGTCATTTCTATTCTGATAATCAAAGTGCGTGTACACAGTCATTTGTCAGTTATTGATTTCTTCGCTTACTTCAGAGTAGATACAATATCACTAGTCGTGGTCCATCGACCTCTCGACTGAATCGTCGAAATCCGCACGGATCAGTTGCTCACCCGGATGAAGCGGGAGTTGTAAGTTGAACCGCGAGGGAGAGTACATCTAAACTGATCCTATTGTAGCACCACAATCGATGTCTGGAAGCTATTCGTTGTGAAACAAGTCAGCTATGTGGATCACCAAACGACCTGGTCAGTCTCACCGTTCTCATTCTCCTGAGCCACTTCATTCTTTCCAACATACATTTTCAATGATACAGTGATTGACGTTACTATTTTGTTTTTCATAATTCTTTTTTCTAGCACTTATTATCCAAAGTTTCCGGGAATACGCTCATTTTGAGCAGTGTGACCTTGGGACTTATCCTGCTTGTTTGGATCCTGCAATACATGACATTGATAATGCTCAATCTGTACCGGAATTGTATGCCACTTGACGATCCACATGGCATGTGATGCATGGATTCACATCACTCCGGTTTCTCATTCTTGATCTGCATTTCCAAACTATGTAAGTATTTGTACATATATATATATACATAGAATTTTTCTACATAAACCAGATTTCAACTGTACACTTATTCTCATGATTAGATAACATGCATATTTGATACTTGTGAGTGCCTTTTTTACAATGTCTTATCGTGTAAAAGGATGTGGCACAATGCCGAGGCTGATCACTGTCATCATAATTGCAAACTAATCAGAACCAATGAGCCTTCAGCGGGTTCTTGTCGGATAAATAGTGAAACTCGCGGAGAACTGAGAGGTTATCAACTGTGATGGAATTCCTAGTATATGATCATGCTAAACTGTCTCGTTTTCCGAGTGGTGGGACAGTCTAGTTGGTTCAACAGGTCAACAGGATTGGAAGTAGCATCTGATGTCTATTGCACGTGCTACCCTCGAGAACGATGATCATGTTCTGGCCGTGATCTAATCTGTTCCAATCTGTTGTTGAATCAGTGAATTATTTTATTCACCTGCATTGTATGAAAATTCCCAAATATCACAAAATGAGCACACATATTTCAAAGTTCCAAGTTCTATTATGAGTAATTTCACAAAGCACACACTTATCATCCTCTCCCTTGGAATTTTTGGGGAATGTTTCAAAAAACTTTACAAATAGAAAATGATGCTAATAATAATAATACGAATGATCAATTCCACAGATTTTAAAATGTTAAGTGTTCGAACGCATCATCACGCTGTGATTTGAATAGATCAACCGAAGAAGCACATGCAGCATGCGGATGGAAGAAAATTCGCACAATCTGACTGCAAACGAGTGATGTCAGCACTTTGTTCTGGATTCTGAACTTCAATGAATGTCTCCTGAGATGGTTATTTTGAGATAAGGTCAACACAGAACGACAAGCGGGGTTGGGTTGATGCAGCATGCATTATGTTACGATTAGATGCCCCAAAGTCGACGAGTAAAGACCCAATATTTGCAGCCTTTCAGAGTATGACTTGTAGGGCAAAACATTACCAATTTCGTTGCCAAACTTTGCGGAAGTTCTAAGGTCTTCTTCTTGTTCCAGTTTAGTCATGGACTCCAGGCCTGAACGGCGTATTCCGTGTGGGGCCAAATGAAAGGTGATCGAAAACGAGGGAACAGTGCATTTCAAACTGCCTAAAATAGCACCTCCAGGAACCGAAATCATTCCATTGATACAATCGTCTGGGCTTAGGTGACCGTTGTGCAATTCGTAAAACATACGGAGCTTTGTTTTATGAGATCCCAAGAGTCAACATCATCGATTTGATTGATACAGTTGAACTAGCCGTTCGTCCTTAAATCAATTGCCCGCTCCGCACCTATCCTACTACCACTACCCAAATCCGGATGAGTGTTCAATCGATAATTGGATCAAAGCATACCCTTCAGACTGAGAGAAGCAGACGATACTCGATGCCAATCGACAACTGGTGAACCCAACAAAAAGAGGCATCTGATTTCCTGAGATAATAGACAATTTTGAAAGAAGAATGCATTAATTGGTGGATGGAAGCAAATCATCATGGACACTCAATTGCTGATGGAATGTTTGAGAACAGATCGCCCACTTCGATAATTCAGTAGAGACGAATCAAAGCAATTCAAATTGGGATAAGTGATTCCGGTCAACATATCATCTCAGGGCTGACTCTAGCCGGACTGGGGAATTAATTTCACTAATATGAGAATATCGTCATCAGGGTGAATCGATAAACTCGAACTACCTATGCGAGTTTATGAATTGTACACAATAAAGTCCGCTGGGATCAGAAATTATGGTGAATTGTGTTCTTCAAAAGTCCACTTTTACATGTATTAAATCGCTTGTAGCAACTATTTACCGGGGTTATCTGGGGGCCGATTGTCCTCAATCAAGGTTATCCCTGAGGTGAAAGTGAACACAATCACTGTGTGGGTGTTTTGATCTGCTCCAGCTATTGTTTGAAATTATGTCCATGTTTTGAATGAAAAATTAAACAGTCAACTCCCTGTGCTTCGGGCCAATTTGAACTGTATGCGAATAGCTAGCCACACAACTTTTGCTTATCTGTTTAGATTTTCTGTACTGTGCTGGCAAATTTCTCACAAATATTTTTGTTTGAATTTCGAAGTCTGAGAGAGAAACAACGAAGCATCACGTGATGGGAACAAGCAAAGCTCATAGCAGACTCAACATAATCGAGGTTGAAGAAGATACAGCAGTGCACTGAGGAACATTTCCAAATCGATACGTAGCATTGAATGTGTTTTAGAATGTGAAACAGGGATGCATTCGATCTGGTGTAAGTGCACACGATTAATCCGGTTGATCCAGTAGTCACACACACACACACATACACATGGGACCCGAGGGATTTGAAACGCTTAAGATTCTACGTGAGGCACACAAAGACTATTCTCATTCAAACTTAGGGATGCAGTACAAGCTACTTCTCCCCCAAATGTCTCCTCTTTGACTGCATGTATGTATGTGGAATCAAGTGCTTTAGTTGTATGACCTGACGCATGCCCCATTGTGTCCAGTAGAACTACTCTGCTAGAACAAATACGGGGTCAATTAAACCATTAACCAGCAGTGATTTGGTCTCACTTCGTTCTGTCTGATGTGATAAACACATTTCATCTCTTTCGCAAAGTTCCGGAGCGGTTACGTACCAAATCCGAACTATCCGAATTCCTCCGCTCACTGTATGATAGGAGGCACCTAAACTCTCCGGACTTGTTTAGTGAGAATGCGTCAGTTCGCTACTCCGGATTACCCATTTCCTCCTTTGCTCCAAGGCTTCTCTGACGAAAGTTGATATTGGTCACGTACTCTTACGTAAATATAGTTTCTTAGTATGGTAGCCGGAGTTGGTAAATGTCGTCCTTGAACAAACTGGTACTCTCTAGCTAGAAAGCGCACCGATTCGGCCGGATTCGCTTGCACAGAGTCTGTGGACTGTCATGAACGTCAGTCTATTTTCCTCTTCTGAGGCGATTCGTTGTTTCGCAATCCACGACAATCGTTCACTTGTGCTTGTTATATCCTGTAGTCTTTTTGTTTGAATGGCCTTCGCGAGATTTCACAGCGGTTGCTCTTAGTCCTTTTACGGTGTAGGTGACGAGATCTTCACTCCCAGATGAATTTTAGTGAAACGACATTTATACCAAACGTGATCTCACCAATGGGAAACCACTGAAACGTTTGGGCCAACGACTTCACCCGCTTCGTCAAAAAGAACAGCTCTCAGCCTCACGAGACACGTCAACGGAGTTTCACGACCGCAAAGAAGCCACTGCTAATAAACGGCTGAGCCTTAATAATCCAAAAGCTTCAATCAATGTATGCCTTGCCTTGGCGTCTCTAAGGTTTACATTCAATCCACGTAAAAAGCTATGTTAGAATGGTCTCAGGTAGAGAATGAAACACAAGCGATTTTGACCTGTTCAAAATGTTGCATACGTGCCTGCGGCTTAAGTGTGTACGTTTTACCAACCTGTGCATCATTAATTTGCTCGTTCTACAGGCGTTAGCGATTGATATCTACAGGTGTTGATCAAACTCGTGCAACATCGCTCACATTTCGGAAATAAATTTCAGTCTCCAAAATCACACTCGTATATTGGTGACCATGGGTAAAGTATATTTATCCCTGATATTATCTCACACTTTTATGTTCTTAGTCCTCCGCTATCACCGTTTGAATTAGCGTGACCTTGAGCGTTGCGATAAAATTTATAATAGTTCGAAAGTTACAGCTCAGATTTGGAAAATATTTTAAGTGAAATATAGTCTTCCTGTTCCATGACAGTGGTTATTGAGTTGAGCCAACGCATTCTAAATTACTTATCTCTTTTCATTCAGTGAACAATAAATAAGCAGATTAATGAAAATATTCTAACTTAAATAAATTGGCTATAAACTATTCACACATTATCCACAATACTGGCATAACTAAACCATAGTCCGAGAAACAAAAGAAGTTGTTCTTCCAAAGCTAACTTTGAGGTGTGCGGCTCGATGAATAAGCGTTTTGTTGTGTCATCTTACCCAAACCGGCTGGCAAATTCGAACGGCTTTTTGCATATAATTAAAGCCTAGAGGCAAGTTAATCGATAGAAACAACAAACTAAAGATTCAGTTGGTGTCTTGTGGAAGTGCCTCAATGTGAACATAAGCATTCTGAACGGGGATAGCCATTCAGTCATTCAAAAGTCACGGTGATTGATTGAAAGGAAGAGGAATGGGTTGGGGGTGGGGTGGGGTGGTGCGACGTGTTTCACGCCCCTAGATGATCACCACAACACTGTACTCGATAGATGACTTTGAAGGCTGATTCCGGCTTCACTTGGTGACCTGAGTCTGCCAGCTGAGCGAGGATAGCGCTTCCTGTGGCACCTTTTCCACCGTGTTAAAGCCAGCGTGGGCAGTGCTCTTTGCATAGCTCATTTCAGTGCTCACCAATCAGCTCTACAGTATTCTTGCTTCATGAAGAAAATAATTGAGTCATTGCCCAAATAGATAATAAATGAATGGAACACGCACTTCATGTGAAAGAGACTAGTGGAGTTATTTCAGCACCGAGTAAGCTTAGTACCCTTAAACGGACAAACTGGGGACCATCGTACGTCAGAAAAATCCGGGTAATCTTTGTCAATTTAGTGCGTAGTTGAGATCTACCGGGAAGTTTGAGTGATTCTTCTTCATACTGCTTGGCTGGTTTGGATTTCAAACCGTGTAGTCTCGGACCCGTAGCCCACTAGAAAAGTAAAAGCAGGGTAGGATAGATTTATTACGACTCATTCACAATCAATCGAATCACGCTCCACTTTCACGGATGACACACGTGATGATGCATGCAACGTGAAATTACTCTCCTAATCTCTGTGTGTGTGCCATGTTTTCAGCATCAACCGGGAGCAGGCCAGGTGCGTTACTCAGCCCCCATCGACGGGACAAAAACATCGA